CTGTCGCCGCCCTCCTTCGAGGTGGGACGCAGCCGCGCGGCCAGCGCAGCCTGGTTCTGGAAATTACTGATCTGAAATGGGCTCCAAAAGTGTCGCAAACGGGTGGCCAAAAAGAGACGCACGTCTTTGCACACGTCTGTGTAAACACGTCTATGATGCACGTCTCTGTAAAACGAGGCGCATCCAGAAAGCTTGTTTTTCTTCGTTCAACACCAGGCTAAAGCCGAAGTACTCTAATAAACGGGCTACTTATGTTTCTTTCTTCTTCCTTTCTTCACCCCTTACTCTTACACAGGGTGGCCACTTTCTGGACAAAATGGAAAACTGGGAAAAAGTAGGGGATGCAAGTGCTTTGGAAAAGTCAGGGAAAATTAGGGAATTGAATTGATCTGGAACGTTTAGGGAAAATCAGAGAATTTGTAGAATAATCGGTAGATTTCAGGGAAAATTTTGCGAGATTTATAAAATTATATATTATACCTTGAACACGTTTTTCTCAAATTTTATTTGGTGAAAAATATTGTTTATTCGTACTTTGACGCACCGAAATCAGAGAGCTTACCAATTAGTGTATAGGTAATTTAAATATTTTCACTAAATAGTGTGAAATAAAAAAAAATTGATCTGAAAAAAAATTAAACCGCACTGGGAAACTGTAAAATCAGCGAAATTTGTGCCGGGAAATGAGTGACCACCCTGTTGCACATACTCGTACTCACTACCTCATGTGTCGGGAGACCAGACGGGAGCTTAGTTTGTGCCGGCTGGGGCCGTGCCACGCTGGTGGAAGTACCTGGTTGGCGAAAATGTAGGCCGGCGCCGAATCCTGCCAACCAGGAGAGGAAGATCACCGCCACCTCACGCGATGAAAACATGCACTACACGTTCGGGACCAATGATCTTAGCAGTTGGCGCAATATGGAGTCGCTAATCAAATCAATCAGAAATCACATTTCCCTAGGTCGTCAAAGAAACGGATTTCATGGAGAAATTTTTTGGGGGCACTATTTTTCCACATATTCACTCACAGTATTGACATTATGTATGTATGACATGTGTTGTAGACGTCTGTCGCTTGAGATAAATACCAGCCCCTGTGCGTCGTTCTGATACAAGTAATGCTGCTGACCGGACGATAATTTCTTGCGGAATAAGAAAATATGGAAATCGCTGAGGGGGGGGGAGATCTGAATTGTAGGGTGCATGATCAAATACCTCCCACCGCAATTGCTACAGAAGACCTGTTGCGAGCTTCCCAAAGTTCGGATCCCGCCCTCAGATTTCTATCTTTTCCGTAGTTTTTCCCACGAAACGTACTTTCGGGATGCGCTTCGTCCCGTAACTGTGTATGCCTGGCGAAATTTCAGAAAAAATAAGAAATTATAAGGATTAAGTTAAAATTTAGAATGAATTAAATTATGATATGAAATTTGATTTATTATAATTTTGATTTATATCTGTAATTTCTTAGTTTTCCTCAAATGGTGGGGAATGCAAAATCCATTTCCGATATTAGTTTTAGAGTTTGAATATTTTTCATTAGCCACAAGTTGACTTTAATTTACGTATTACGAACTGCTGTATTTTTATGGGCACTATTATGATGCTTCTCGTGATATTAGCCAGTTATACTTGTTTTCCTGCAAATTTTATTTTTCTTGAAGGTATCGAAATATTTAAGACCGGAATATTCCTTTCCCATTGCCTAATTACATAATCTAGTGAGAATGTATGGTCTTTCATAGTACTAGACAATAAATAGTTACGCAAAATATTTTACTTTCAAATCTTCAGAACTAAACTTGAAAGGATTGAAGCACTTGTAGGAAACGAAAATGAAATTTGAACGCTGTTTCCTGTTCAGTGCTCTGAGAAAAAGTGCCGTTCCTTCCTAATGAGATGTCAGTACCAATGCTCATAAGTTGACAAGACGTTTGAAAATTAACAAAAAGGTTGTTTTACGTAAAATTCTTAAAATACAGATTCAGACACATGAAGGTAGGAGATGGTGCTTAGTAATCTTGAAAAATAATGCATCCAAATAAATGTATCACTGAATAATTACTTGTGAGCGACCAAGAGATTCCAATTTGCTGTGTACTGGCGTGAAAACAATTAGTTCGTGGTAGGAACGTGGACATTTGTTACAAAACTACGCACAAAATTCAGTTAACGATTGGTTCAATGTAATATTTCCCATTTTCATTCATTGCAAGTACGCTAACATTGCAAGTTGTAGATACTTTTCTGTCAGTGGTCCATAAGCATGTAATGCAAACCTTAGTCGTTTATGGTAGGCTGACGCAAACGTGAGGTGGTGTGAAGTGTGGCGGCCGCGCTGGTGTTGCAGGGCGCGGGCGCGGGCGAGGAGGTGGTGGTGACGCTGCACAAGGTGAACCGCAGCCTGGGCTTCACGCTGCGCCGCGGCGCGCACGCGGGCGGCGCGGGCGGCGCGGGCGACGGCAGCGAGAGCGACGGCGGCTGCCCGGCGGAGGGGCTGCTGCCCTCGGGCCACTTCGTGCGGGCGCTGGTGCGCGAGCCCGCGCTCTCAGACGGCCGCGTGCGCCCCGGCGACCAGATCCTCGAGGTGGGCGCGCCGGCGTCACTGGACGCGGTTCGAAAGCTAAAATGATACGGAGGAAATTTGTGTATCTTCAGTATCCTCCAAACACTCATACGAGGAATCCCTGATTGTTGAGATATTTCTCGAACATTCGCATGTGGATTATGAGCTACTGCAGCCAGTACTGATATTTGATTATTTTCTCCAGTTCCAGAAACTCTGCGTGTTCTTTTCTTCGGTTGTACACTTCCGTCAGTAGAGAATTGTTGAACAATTCTAGCGGAAGAGGAACGCGAACGTACTCTTGTCAGGAAAACGTTGAGCATGCAAATTAACAGCCGCGTCGAAATTTCTCCCAGCTTCGCAGTAAATGAAAATCATTTCAATTTTTTCTTGCACATTTACATACTCCATGATGCAACAAGGAGGAATGTTAGTTCAGAAAGGTTTAATAAATATTTCGGTTCGTCTCTGAAGTACTGTAGGCACGGACCATGGAGAGACGCTACCAACAAATTGAAGGGTGTGCCCTGAGGCCACACTCAAAACCACTCCAATTACAGTCGGAAATCTTCAAAAATTAAAGTTTTGCGATTACAGCTCCATCTATCACAAATCAGAAAAAAGTTTCAGACAAAACTTATGTATTTTTGTCCGTAGAATCCGAATATGAAATAAAAAAATGGGAGTTCCTATTTAAGATTTCAATGTTGCCCAACGCCCCACTCGCTGGGGACAGGGGGGTGCTGATTTGAGCATAGCATGATTCCCCCTTCAAAATTGTTAAGATTTAGTCTCGGCTCAATTTTTCGCACATCGCGTATTTTTTTAGTTATTTCAAGTTTTCAAGTTGAATGGGAAACTCTGTATATGTATATTGCATTTATGAGCACACGTGCTTCAAATTATGTCTTATAAAGTTTCTCAAATATTCAAAAGGTTTCTTTGAAAATTACTTCAAAATTCGCATTTTCAAAAACGCCCAGACGCCATATTCTTGAAATCTGCTCCATTTTTTTCAAACTTTTTGTATTGAATGCGCTGCTTAAAACGATATAAAAGCCATTGTGCTTTTTCGAACTAGTACGAGAAAGTCTGTGTCATTCTGTGACACGATTAGTAAAATAATGAGCTTGAGATGGAAAAGAACTGGCTCACGTATGTTAACTGTAGTGTTTACTTTTAAAAATTACGTAGTTCCTCAGTTGGTGTAACTGCCATTTAGTCTTGTTGTGAGCTGCGTGTGTGTGTAAGATGTAAAAGTGCCGAATTAGGAAAGTGCAGTTCCCTAAGACTGCATGGCAGGTTTCGTACGCTCTTTACAAATTACCTCGAGGAGCTAATCATGCGAACCGTCCGTGCGTCCTGTGATAAGCAGCGGGCTGCTGTAATTCATTAGCGCGCGCTTGCGAGGCCCTAATTGCGAGTGCAAGGCGGCCCCGTCCCCCGGGGGCCTTTGATCACGAGTGGGCGTGTCCGGCCCGCGGCGCGGAAACCACTTCACGCCTCGAGAGGCTGCCACTGCGGCCGACGCGCGCGCACTAATTCGCTCCCAGGGATAATTTATTTGGGCGTAATATTTGCCTGTTCGGCCAATTTCCGTGTTTTAATTTTCTCGAGTGAAACGGCAGTAAATTTTATGGTGTGAAAGAGCGTACACACAATTGGACAGATGAGTTAAAGTGTGCGTTTTGAAATTATTAGAATATCCTAGACAATAAATTTAGTTAAAGAATCGTAAGATGGCCTTTTAATGCTTAACGAATGAAAGCTTCCGCAGAATTAAAGTTATTGTTTGCAGATATTATTATTATTATTATTATTATTATTATTATTATTATTATTATTATTATTATTATTATTATATTCCTACGTTATGAAGATAACTCATTGCTTCACGAAACATTCCAATAATACCGAATATTGTTAGACTTTTCTATTCGAACAAGGAAAAATTCAAGGTGAACGAGATACAGAGATGCTTTTCCATGGAAACCGGAAATATCCCGTAAACCCCGGTAGTGCAGTATTTATTGATAAGTGCGAGAAATCAGAAAGCCGAAACTTTTTTGATACGAAATATTGGTAATTGGAAATTGGCCCAAATCGTTACTACTTCTACGCGCGCTACTTTCGACAGTTTCTCATGCAATTCTTTGTTCAGTCTTTTCTGAAAGAAGTATTTTGCCATAATCCAATGCGGTCGTTGCCCTAGTAACAAGATGCTTACCAGAGAAGATGATTCTCTCACTCAGTTTTGGCCTTGTAAATTTCTGTCGTGTGTTGTATTACACTTGTCAGTTTTAGAACCACCATATGTTTAAAACTTATGTTATTTTTTTCTCCTCTCCATGTTAGAGCTCTTGAGATCATTTTAATCAGTGTGTATTTTTATCATTTAGCATAGACTTCAACACTCAGTCGGGCTGCTGCGGGCCATGACGTGGAGTTTATTGTAACGATAAACAGCAGTGTAAGGTTGTCAAAACATGCTACTGAAGTTCAAGACGTAAAAAATTAAATGAAATACGTGGATTATTTCATCTGTGGGTCCGACAACCACCTCATCAGTATTTACAATAACCCACAAGACACAGCTTAAGCTAAACAGCGGGTGTCATTATTCTCAGGCGATTGCAATAAAGCAACTGTAATGCAAACATTCATTCGTTCCACCTAACTCAAAACGGCTGAGATAAGTATGTGACAACATCCTTGTCAGCTTAATCATCTCTGGCCAGGAAGATCTAGGATGCGAATTCCGAGGTTCATGGATTTTTGACACAAACTGTCTAGCAAGGTCGAATTTAGCCACTGTGTAAAGTCGGCTTCTAGAGACCCTCCAGTTTTTCCAGCTTGG